CACAATTTGTCTACCCATTCATCTTTTTATGGACACTGGGTTGTTTCCAGATTTTGACTATTTCAAATAAAGCTGTTACAAATGTTTATATACAGGCTTTTGTATGGTTATATGTTTTAATTTCTGGGGCATATGGTAGGTTTTAAGAAATTACCACACTGTTTTCCAAAGTGACTGTACTATTTTGCATACCCATTAGTGATATGTTAGAGTTCCTATCAGTTTTCATCCTTTTCAACTCTTGGTATGGTCAGTCTTTACAATTTCTGACATTCTGATAGGTATGTAGTAGTATTTCTTTTATTTTGTTTTGTTGTTCTCTATTCTGTTCCATTGGTATATTTTGTTTTATGGTAGTGAAGACTGAATCCAAGGCCTTCACACTGAACCACTTCCCCCAGCCCCTTTTAAAATTTTCAGACAAGGTCTTGATAAGTTGCTCAGGCTGGGCTTGAACTTGCAATCTGCCTCCCAGAATTCTGAGATTACAAGCATGTGCCACCATGGCTACTTTCTCATTGTATTTTTGTTTATTTATTTTTTGGTACTGGGGATCAAACTTGGGATCTTGTGCTTGCGAGACAGATGGCGGAACCACTGAGCTAAATCCCCGGCCCCATTTCATTGTATTTTTTTCTTAAATTCTTTTATTGGTACATTTTAGGTATACAACACATTTACATTTCTCATTGGGAACTTGTACCTTTACATGATGCATCTTGGTTCTTATTTTTTCCCCATTCCTAGCCCTCCCTTCACCCGCTCCACCCTTCCCTATTTACAAAGACTTTATTTCCATTTTTTCCATCTCTCATAATTTTTCCTTTCTCTTCTTTCCCCTGCCCCTCCCACTACCCCTACCCCTTTGGACCTTTTCTTCCTATTTTGCATTATCGATTATTCATTCTAATCATTGGTACATTTTAGGTATACAATATAATGAATGGAATTCATTGTATTTTTAATGTGCATTTTTCTTATGGCTAACAGCACAGATCATTTAAAAATGTGCTTGTTTTTTATCTATTCATCTTCTCTGGTGAAATATCTATCCAAACATTTCATAACCTAATCCTAGAAGTGATATCCCATCATTTCTGCCGCATTCTATTTATTAGAAAAGTAAGTCTAGGCCATATTCAATGGGAAGGGATTACAATGGAGTGGGACATTGGGAATTATCCTACAGGCCTCGTATCATGGAATGGTTCCTATTTCTCTAAGGCTCAAATCCAAAGTTCATATTCTGGCCTATAAAGCCCTACAAGATCTAGCCCCAATCTTCCATCTGGACTTTTTAAAATTTATTTTCTCATCCTTTGATGATGTCTTCCCATCAGATTTTCCCAAGATGGCTTCTTGTCATTCAGGCCTCAGCTTGTAAATTACCTCTGCAGAGAAATCAACCTCAATCACTCAAATACACATCACCCTATATTAACATTCTATGTGGTAGTTAAAACTATCTGACAGAAGTTACAATATGGAAGGAATTGGTTTTGCCTCGTTCATCACTACACTTCTAAGCCTGGAATAGTGTTTTCCATATGATAAGCAATCAGTAAATAAGTTACTGAATAAACAAATGAATGAGATCTCCAAAGAGCCAAGAACAGATGGGCTCCAGACCATTGTGGGAGTGATTAACCTACCATAACGTTCCTGTTATCGCTGCTGCTTAATCAACTATCCCAAACCTAAAGGTAAAAGACAGCAACCATTTTTTATGCCCCAAATTCTGTAGGAAAGGAATTCAGAAAAGGCACAGTTAGGATGTCTCACACTATCTGAAGCCTCAGCTTGGATGTCTTAAAGGTTGGAAATAACCTGCTACTTGGGGGAAGAAATCATCTAAAGGCTCGTTAATGTACCTGTATGGTGGTTGATACTGCCTGTGAAGCTATCTTAGGTTGTCAGACAAAACACCTACACAGTCTTAGGCCCCTTCACAGCTTGATGGCTGTGTTCCAAGAGCAAGTACCCCAAGAAAATTTGACAGAAGTTGTTATGTTACCTTTTGTCATTTACACTGGAAGAGATCACTTTTGCTGTAGTCCTGAGTATGTCCAGATTCAAGCAGAGGGTATGACTAACTTCTTTCTTCTTTTCTTCCTACTCCTCTCTCGCCATACTGGGATTGAACCCAAGGCCTTCACACTGAGCTGCACTCACAGCCCCTATTTTGGACAGAATTTTGCTAAGTTCCTCATGCTGGGGTTGAACCTGTGACCTGCTTGTCTCAGCCTCCCAGAGTGTTAGGGTTAGAGGTGTGTACCACCATGCCAAGCTAACCCCATTTCTTGATAAAAGGAGTGTTAAGTTCATGTAGAAAGAAAAATATTTTAATACAGGGTGGTATATTAGTCTTTGTTCTGTTACTACAACAAAATGCTTGTGGCTGGGTAATGTGTAGAGGTTTATGTACTTAGTTCAGTTCTGGAGGTTCAAGGGTATGGCTCCACCAGACTTAAGGTTCAGGTTTGCTCTTTTGTAATGATCTCTCACAAGGACTACATCAATTCCTTCTGAGGGCAGTGCCCCCAGTGATCTCATTATTTCTCCCTAGGGTTCATTCCTTAAGGTTCCACACTACCTCTCACCACCACACCAATGGCCAGACTTCCAACATGTGAATCCTGTGGAATATAGCTCAAGCCATATCAACCACACCACACAGGAACCCTGCCACTTTGGCTGTCTCCAGGTATATCATGGCTCGTTTTGTACCATTCATGTCCAATATTGACAACAGTGTAAGAAAATAGGTGAGCATCCTGGAAACTCTAAAGATTAATGTTTATTAATTTGAGAATTATCACCTTTTAGCTTAAACTCTACAGATAAATGGAAATCATCCCCAGGTTGATTTTAATCATGTTCAATGTTCTTGACCAGCTTGGTGGTAACTGGATGGCTATAAGTCAACTTGGCAGTATTTCATGTGACTGATTAAATTTTCCTTTCTTTTCATTTTTTGAATTTTTCTTCCTTTATGACACAGCCAAGTTCATTAATTTACTCTGAAGGCAATATACAGGAGATTAATCCAAGCACTGTTAGAAAAGTGGTTTAGTTTTTTAAAACTGAACACTGGAGAACAAAAACAAAATCTCAAAATACTTGTCCAAATTCACTTTTATAACAAATGGACTTTGATATGCAACTGGGATTCAACAGAGATCATCTCCCTGTGGTTTGAGGGCTCTATTTCTTCTCAAAAGTTTGCCTGGTTCAGTAGTAAACAAGTAAAACCTGTGAGATATTCATTGATTCTTGTTTTGTTATTTCTCCACTACTAAATGTTTCCATTTTATATCTTTTTCCTTGGACACTACTGTGAAAATTTGTGTTTGAGATACTTTTATTTGCTTAATGCATTACAAAGTAAGTTTGTCTTTCTTCACTTTGAAGTGCAGAGTCTGCTTTTGCTGGAGGGTGAACTTTCACTTGTCAGTCTCTTACTGACTGGAGAATCAAATGGTTTGTGCATGGATATTAGTAGGAACTCAGATTTGTATTGACATTCTGAAGCCCGAAGCCATACAGTATAAAAGATTCAATCTCATATCCCTAAAAATATCTTCACAGTACTTAATGGTTAATATTTACATAAAAAGCTTAAGATTTGTATATACGTAAGAAACATTTTATTTAAAGAACATAGGTGAAGAGTGAAGACAAAAATTATGAGACATTCAATTAGTACCTGCTTGTTAGAAAAGTTTTCTGACAGAAAAGACTTCATAATTTTGTTAGAAAGAACTCATATTTAACATAGAGAAATACAATAAACACTGAGGATCCAACTCTAAGCACCATAGCTGTGCTCCAAAGAAAGAGCAATTTGGTTCTGAACGATCTAGGAAACCACGGAGGTGAGATGAACCAAGATTTAACATTGGTAAGGGGAGAAAGCCAACAGAAGAAAACAGAAGAGGTCAACATTCTGAAGAGTTGGGGATTACTGGAGTCCCTGAAATCATGGGTATGAGAAAAATGGCTATAATCTGGTTCCCTGGAGTAGCTTGAGATTGTATGTGTTGTTGGGAGTTCCTTGTGTTTACATAGCATCTTACAGAGAATTGAAAAAAGCTTCAATTTCCTATACTACAGAACTAGGGGCAGGGTGTAGGAGGATATAGGGTGATATTTGCTGGAACTCTCCCAGATAAGTGACTCTGCATGCCTCCTGTTCTTTCCTTTGGGATGCAGCTTTCTTGGATGAACTATAAAGAGAAAGTTACTGTAAATCTTTTCAACAATTATATACATTTGAAAATAGGTCTAAAGTGAAGATGGCACTTTTAAAATCGCTGTGGAAAAAGCAGCTAGGTATAAGGGTCTGCAATCTTCCATCAATTCTTTTTACCTGACAAATCAGGGACTTATGAGACAAAAGTTTTCAACCGCTTGTCCAGCACCTTCTAGCCCCTACCATCTCTCCCGTGGGCCTCTGGAAACAGGAGAAAGGGAGGTTTCGAACTGTTAACAATGATTTGGGTGCTTCCCAGAAACTAATGGGCAGAAGGAAGCCAGAGACACCGAATGCCCTGCTCCAAAACGCCACGGACACCGTTCAGAAGCGCTGACGCTACTCGAAGAACTCTCCGGACGTCGCTGGACTGCACCAGGCCTCCTCAGTGCTCCCTCGCGCTCCTATTCTCTTCCCAAACACCTGTCGGTGTACGCTTCAATCGTCATACTACACGGTTTTTTTTTTTATCTGTTTCACATCTCCTCCACTCTGTAAACCTCCTAGCTGCGGGGCACTGGTCGCTGTCAGTTCTGTCTACTGCTTGCTTTCGGGACAAACATCCGAACAAAGAAAGGGTCCCAAGCCCCGACGCGAGCGTTGTACGTCACTTCCGCCCCTCCGCGGGCCCTCTGGGCGCCCCTTCCCTCGGTGTTTGTTTCCGCCGTTTCAATAAAGCTCGATTCGATTCGAAGAAGCCCGCTCTTCCGGGAAAATGGCGACCTCCGCCCGCGCCGCGGAGTCGCCGTCGGTCGCAGATTCGGCGCCCGCTGCGGGGCCCGCCGCGGGGCCCTCCGAGGGAGCCGACAGCTCGCCGCTCGGCGCGCCGCAGCCCCCGCAGCATGTCCTCGCCGCCCCGCGGCCTCGAGCCCCGAGTTCCCGAGGGCTGGGGGCGGCGGAGTTCGGCGGAGCTGCAGGAGATGCTGAGGCGCCAGGAGAGACTTTTGCGCAACGAGTAAGCTGGGTCGCGGGGGTCCCCTGTGGGCGCCTGGGTTCGCGCCCGTGGGACACCACCCGTCCCCCCTACCTGGAAGGTGACCTTGTCTCGGTCAGGTCTGGCTCGCGACCTACGGCCAGCAACGGCCTGCAGTGGCAGCCGACTCCCCTCCGGCCGGCCGCGCGCCCGCGACTCCGCCGCTGCTTTCGCGCGGTGCAGGGAGCGTCCGCAAGGCCAGTCTGTGGTGCCCTCCTCCCAGGGCCCGGAGCGAGCCGTCAGTTTTCATCTCTAGACTGCAGGAACTCAGGACCTAGGAGAGTGGGTGTCAGAGGTGGCTTATTGGGCCCCTGGCGACTCCACGGGTCTTAGGGGAGACTGCGGTACTGGTTGTTGGGAAGGTTCGTGAACTTGGTACAGGTTGGTTTGAAGGAATAAGAGGCAGAAGACTCCAGGAGTATATTTTTAGAGAGGTTTTCATCTAGGGGGTTGTGAGAAAGTAGAGTAGGAAGTTAGCTCTGGGATTGAGAAAACTTTAGTTGAATATGTAGTTGACAGAGATGACTCTTTTCCAGTCTGCGTGGAAAGCCACTAACATAAATAGAAAAATTGGGGGGAGAGGAATGGATTCAAGGTCGATTTCACTTAGTGTTGTGCTGAATTGAAGGGAGAGGATAACAGATACTTGGTTAATTAAAAACTGTAGAATTAGGGCCGGGGATTTAGCTCAGTGGTTCCGCCGCCTGCTTCCTCAAGCGCAAGGTCCAGAGTTTGATCCCCGGTACCAGGAAAAGAGAAAAAAAAAAACAAAAACTGTAGAGTTAAAAGCTGGAGTAGAGAGGAGAATGCTGGAAACATAAAGGGAACCTGCAGAGAGGTGTTAATATGTAGTCGAAATTATGGGAATGAGTATAGTGTCCGAAAGCGGCCCGGAGACGTTACCTTCTCTCTCCTAAAGAAAAAAAGAAGAAGAAAAAGAGTTTCTGCTGACACCCAACAAGACAAATAATCACTCGTTGGGGGGAATCTTCTAGTAGAGATGGATAATTTTACTTTGTGAGAATGGCTTTTTAATGTATAACTGTGAATTGACTCTTTGGCCTCAGGACCCCTTTATATTCACTCTTTAATAATTATTGAGTGTCCCAAAGAGCTCTTGTTCTTTATTTGTTATATGTAGCAATACTTACTGATTTATCAGAAACAACTGAGAGGTCTTTAAAACAGGATACACAAGCACATATTCCATTGCAGAACAATGATGTCATCACATATGTAGCCTCTAGAAAACTGCACTGTATCCACAGGATTAAGTGAGTGGGAGATGGCAGATAACATCTTGGAATTATGAAAATAATTTTGACCTTATGGACCCATCTCCGTGCCTCTAGGTCGTGGAGATCACACTTTAAAACTGCTGATAAAATCTTAAATGATTATTATACAGGTTATGTGTTGTCTTAAATGCTTGTGATCAGAAAAAGTTTTGAATCTTGAGATTTTTGTCAGGTTTTGTTATATTTGTATATACATAATGAGATATCTTGGGTCTGGGACCCAAGACTGAATGTGCAATTCATTTATATATATATTTATATATAAAAATATATTTCTTTTGATACCGGGAATCGAACTCTGGTCCTTACACTTGCGTAGCACGCAGCGAATCCACTGAGCTAAATCCCTGGCCCTCATTTATATTTTTTATAGACATAGGCTACAAATAGTAATTTTTGGTGTGCCTGTATTTTGACTGCAGCCTGCTACAAGAGGTCAGGTATGGTATTTCCCACTGGTAGAATCATATAAGAGCTTAAAAAGTTTCAGGTTGTGGAGCATTTCACATTTCAGATTTTTCAGATTAGGAATGTTCAACCTGTGTTTTTAACACGCTTTTGCTGAAGTTTTAATTAGAAGAGACAAATGAATCATATATTCCCCTATTCTTCCTGTTGTCTCTTGTTTTGGGGGGCATTTGAATAGTTGTCTTAGTTGTTTCATTCCTGCTTGGGGCCATTTAGAAATCATAGTTTTGACTTAAAAATCTGCTTTTCTCCCTTTAAGAATAATGTTTTACCTTTTAAATATATATTTTGAGTTTAGAAACACGATTCTAATGTGTACATATTTTTTGCATTTGACAGAAAATTCATTTGCAAATTGCCCGACAAAGGTAAAAAGATCTCAGACACCATTGCCAAACTGAAAGCTGCCATTGCAGAACATGAAGAGGACAGAAGAAAAAGTGAACTGTTTTACCCTGTTAGCGTAGACTTTGAGCTAAGGCAAAAGGCAATTGCAGGAGTTGATGTGAATGTAGATAAGATCTCAAGTTCTGACCAGATGCTTGATACTTCGTCACTAGTTCCTGGCTGTTCCCCTGTAGATAAAATCAAGTCATCCAAAACAACTTCAGAAAAGCAGGGATTTGTGAATCCTACTCACAAAGACAATGTAGAGACTCCGGAGGCTGAGTCCACAGTGAACAAGCACCCAGCTTCCAACAGCAAGGCTGGGACACTTTCCCCAACGGAGGATGCGGAGCATCTCCCGCAGCGTTGTGGTTCAGGTCTCACACAGGATATCTCCAGCGGCTTGGACAACCTGTTTCTTGACAAGTTGCAGAGGATCGTGATTGCAGACCAAGGTGAACACCACTCAGGAGCAAGCCCAGGTGCAGAAACCCTGACGAGCCTGTGTAATGGGCCTCCTAAGAGGCCTCATTACATGGAAGTGCTAGAAATGCGAGCCAAAAACCCAGTGCCCCCACCACAAAAGTTTAAAACCAATGTGTGAGTATCATTGGGAACAGTCCCTATCACAGGACATAATGTGTGTGAAACTCAAAAAGTGGGATGAGTGCTTTTAAGTTCAGCAGGGTGTATGTGAGCATACTTATCGGTAGGAATGAACACAGTGTGGAAACAGGGAGACTGGCTTGGCAGGAGTGGAGGATTGCTTTTGAAAAATACTTTATTTTTGAAGCCAAATAATTTAAAAGGTTTTTAAGTAGCAGATGGGGAATATTGAATTTCAGGATGTTTAGCCAATATTTCATAATAAACACAGAATTGGAGAGACGATTTATTATGGCTTTTTTCCCCCCAGTTACCATTTTCTGTGTGCAGCTCCCCTCTGCTAACCAGTAAGTGAAGGGAGAAGCAGTCACAGGAGTTGATGGGCCTGTCTGCATGCTTGCTATGTGTAAGCATTGCTCTGGGGGTGCAGTGAAATAGAATTTCTGTTCCTCAGAATTCAGGATTAGATGAGGAGCACTGTTCACACCCTTGGGGAAAATTTTAACTATATAATAATAACAGTTTCTGGGGTCTAAAGAAAAGCAGCTGAGAAGAGCTAAAAATTTAAAACTTGATTTTGACTTCTGAGTTCTTGCCATAGTTTTGTTTCTGATATTTCCAGAAAAATAAAAAGTTCCTTGAAAAGGAAAGAATTGTTCTTTATGGGTTGCACATATAATGTTCAAGTGTCCTTACAAGGATTTTAACATACGATACAAGCTACTGTTACATACCTTTCCTTGAAAAACTGAAAATCCCATATTTAGAAATACCTGAAACATGTTTAAAATTTAATGCTATCCTGCAATTCATGATTTTTTTTTTTAAACCTTAAAACATTGCTGCTGTATGGAAAAGCATTATTGTACTTCATTTCTACCTAGGAATGAAAAGTAATTTTTGATTAAATACTTTTGTCCTGTATGCAGTGAGGTATCTCTTCATTTCTAGAAGAACATTTTAGAAAACCAGAAGCATCATTCAGTTAACAAATCCAAGAAAATAAAGTTGATCACAGTTCTGAATTGTGAGCATTTAGCTGGAAGTTAGAGATAAAGGGGTCAGAGTGAGTGCTCCCAGGGATCAGGGATATTTAAGAGAGGGAGCATCCTGTGCGGTTAGAGGAGACTGGGACAGGCTGAGCCTGGAAGAGTCAGTAGGCACAGACTGGCGGGCATTGGGCTTCTATGGGTGAACAGTGGCTTGGAGGGTGGACAGTGGGATCAAGTCATGTTCTTTGGCTCTTTTTGTTTGTTTTTTTAAATGGTGCTGGATATGGAATCCTGAGCGTCATGCATGCTAGCAGCCATTCTACCCTGACCTGTCCTGTAGCTTTTCTGCTCTTCCTTTGTCCTACACATTCTGGCTTTGTGTGCTCTACCTGGATGCTGGAGGCTGCGTTTTTTTGTTTGTTTGTTTTTTTTTTTTGGTACCAGGGATCAAACTCCGGTCCTTGTGCTTGCGAGGCAGGCGGCGGAACCACTGAGCTAAATCCCCGGCCCAGGAGGCTGCCTTTGATCTGTCTGTGTCTCATGTTCCCAGAAACTAGATTTGTACTGCCAGTCAGCCATGAAACATGGCCACTTAAGTGGAACTCCAGTGTCTTCCCAGACTTACTGCCATATTTCTGAGTTAGTACTGCTACCACCACCTTGATTTTTTTTACCCAGGGTGTCTTTTTTCTCATTTCCAACTTGGCCTCCATAATCCATTTCCTTGTACTTCATCTCTATAATCATTTTTCATCCTCTTTTCTGTCAAAGTGGAGGTTCTTATCTCTCTCTTGGGCTGTAACTGAACTGTTCCTGACTAGTCTTCACTGCCAGCCCTTCCTCCCCTTCACTGGCAACCCTGCTGCCAGAGTGCAATTTAAAATACAATTCGAAGGCTGGGGATTTAGCTCAGTGGTTTCGCCACCTGCTGTGTAAGCGCAAGGACCTGAGTTTGATCCCCGGTACAAAAAAAACCCAAATAAAATACAATTCGAACTTGTCACATAGACAAGAGCCCTGAACTGTAGCCTGGGCCCAAGCTCCTGGCCATCACTTTCCCTGCATTTTCTGTACTGTGCTACCCAGCTCCTAGCCTTCTTTCCTCACTCACTGCTGGGATGCTCTACTCACCTCATGAACATGCTGAACACCTAGGCCAAGCCTGCTCAAGTATCTTGAAACTTTTCTGGTAATTTCTCTTTTTCCTAGAACAAATCATGTCTTTTAGTACTCATGATATTATGTTGTGCTGAAACTGTTTGCATGTTTATGGTAAGCTATTTACAGTAAGCTCCTTTGCAGATGCTTTTCTGAATGAATAAATGAAAAAATAACTTTAGTTTGAATGTAAGATGTGAAAGGCAAGGAAAAGACAAAGAACTGGTATCTGTGTACATACATAACCCTGTGTATGTACATAGACAGTGTGGGTAAACTGCTGGGATTTAAGGCTGTGAGTATGTGTGTAAACGTTTTGGTTGTGTCTATGGAAAGAAGATTATGTGATCTTGTAACACAAGTCCTCCCATTTTCAGGTTACCATCACAGGACAGTGCCTCACCTGGTCACTGCCAGAGGGGAGAGTCTCCTGTCTCCTCTGAGGAGCGGCGATGCAGGGACAGGCAGCATCTTGATGATGTCACGGCAGCACGGCTCTTGCCGCTGCACCATCTGCCCACACAGCTGCTGACCATAGAAGAATCTTTGGCACTTCAGCAACAGCAGAAACAGAATTTTGAGGTATTTCAAGTACCAAGTTGTTCTTGTTTTGTGCTGGATGCTCCTTACGTTAGAATTTACTCTGAGGACTTCAAAGAGGAAGGATATAATAAGAAATATGGTGCTGAGGCAATCAGTAGCTCTTAGAGATGTGCTACTAGTTTTCCAGTCACAGAATTGCTCAAATTGCAGGCAACAGCTGACGACAGTCACAGCTTCTGCAGTATGCAAGAGTGATTTTCCAAGGAGAGGACTGCAGTGTTGTGTCTTCAGCGCAGGCGTGGCCTGCATCCCTTGAGGTAGCAGTAGCACTGCTTCCCTGTCTTCTTCCTATGAAACCCATTGATGGTTCCTCGCTTGTGGGATACAGCCCCGGTCTGCTGAGATCCCTGGGAAATGGGGTTCTCAGTCTTGTCTCTTCTTTGATACAGGGCAGCACTGAACGGGTGGGGACAGGGTTGTGTTGCCCACAGACATCAGGAGTCGGGCCTGTGTGCAGAGAGAAGAGTCCTACTTTGTCATCTAAATCAATTTTTAGCACTTTCTCCAAAGATCCTTGTGGTCTGCATAGTTTGTGTTTGGCTTTACAGGCCAGGAGAAAGTGAGTGTGAGGACCACAGAGGGACTGAAAGTAGGTATTCTTGGTTAGTAGTACTTTGAGCCACCTGGAAAATAGCATCTTGAGCTACTTTCTAGTCTGTCTTGGCCTTTCATAAATGCTCAATTAACATGGTTTGGCATTTTCAAGACAGTGGTTTATCATTTTTCTTCTCAGTATATTAAAATTACTACTAGTTACAACTCCAGCATCGAGGGAATGTTTTTTAAATTGTCTGTGGGGTCTAAAATGCCTGTCTGCAGTCAGTTTTAGGTTTAATTTGACCCTTCAAGGTTAAATTTACTATTAGCAGAGTAATAGTTGTAGCCTCCATGTGTACCTGCACATAACATTCATAGCTGTGGGGGAAGGTGTGAAGTTCAAGGGGACCACATTGGAGGGGAGAGCCTACCTGTCCTGCTCGCTGGGAGCATCCTCAGTGTGTGTGAGCACACAGCCAGGTTGAACTCACTTGGGCTTTTGTTGGGTGTGATTTCTGTAGGACTTTATATGGTATTAGAATTAATACCTAATTGTCCTGTGCCATGGAAATGTAATTCTCAGGCCTAGAAGCCATGATTTAATGTGGGGAAGAAGGTTCTGCCATCTGGAGAAATAAACACATAATTCGTGATTTTTGACATTTAATAGATCTGATCACTTCCCATGTCAGTGTGTGTATGGATGTGTGTGTGCCCACATACTTAATGTGTCTGTGTTTATAACTTGTAGTGCTGAGCTGACCCCTCAGGCCTGACACAGGATATTTCAGTGCAGTGCTGTTTTTTGATGGAAGTCGGGGACCACAGCTCCCCAGGCTGGTCACTGTCACAGACGTTGCCTTGCTATTTGTAGTGGGATGCAGCTGTCAGTGTCCTTGTGTTGCTGGAGGTCACTAAATGAGTGCCATGCCCTTCTCTTTCAGATTCTGTTAGAATAACTTACCACTAACAAAAGGTAAGGAAAAGATGTAAATGTGTAACTTTTTGCTTTGTTCTTTGTTTTAAAGGAGATGCAAGCGAAGCTCGCAGCACAAAAATTAGCAGAAAAGCTGAATATTAAAATGCAGAGTTACAATCCAGAAGGGGAGTCCTTGAGGAAGTACCGAGAAGTAAGGGATGAAGATGATGCTCTGTCCTCTGATGAGGAATGAGGAATTCTGAAGATGGGCATTGGGATGATCTCCTGAGTCTCCGATGGTTGAGGTGTCATTACCTAATATCATCAGACTTTCTAACAAGTATCAAGATCAGTGTCAGACGTAGTTGAGGGAAACATTTTATAGTTATACAAAGGTAGCTACAAGAAAAAGCCCAATTTGCCTTTCAGATGATGATCTTCATGTGCTTGGAAAGTTTAATATTTGAATATTGTGTTTAACCGTATTGTATTAAAGTTTTGCAGTTTGTTGTGCATTGATCTGGTATTTTGGTATGTGGTAGAGTACATTTTTCTTTTCATTAGGCCAAATGAAATCAGATGACTTTGCTTTTTTCCTTAATCTTATTTCTATCAAATAGCATTTATCATATCTCTCAATGAAGTACACACTTGTCCTGGACAGCTAAAGTGAACTAGGAAGTCAGTTCCCTCCTTTTTTGAGCAATGGAAGGAGCTGTCTTGAGAAGACAATGCCAGCCTGCATGGAATCCTGAGCTGCTGGAGGTGAAGTATCTAGGGGGACACTCAGGAAAACCTCAGCAGGTGTTTGTTTCCTTCCCCGTCTTACATTAGAAAGCTGTTCCCTTCCTTCTCTTTAGGAACAAGGAATACTTTGAGGAATGCTGGAGGGTTGGGAGTCTTACTAGAAGGTCGGATTTGCCTGGAGTAACTTTTGGTACAAGAAATGTCCAAGCTGACTGAGCTAGGTGAAAGGAGGTGCATCTCGGGCACCGGTGCTGTTTGTCCATGTGTGGGACACATGTATCTGATAAGGAAACCAGTTTGTAAAAGTTACAGTTGAGCTGTCAATACACTGCTTTCTTTTTTCCCCCAAAAGAGTCATATATAGGCCTTTAGAAACCTCAGTCTCTTAAATATATATATATATATGTTCCTGTCATTTTAAATGGTTGTTGTCTCCAAAGGAATTAACACTTATGTTATCAAAAAATTCAGTACTGAAAGAAAAGAATAAAATATGAGAGCAACTTCAAATGGTAATGGTGATATTTTACTGGTATCTAAATTTTGCTCCTTTCATTGTCTTGAAACCCACCAGCCAGACACAAACCTGTAACGTTTAAGTGTTCGAACTGTTGCTTAGTTTTCTATGTATAGCTGTACATTTATATTTTGAAAATGCAGTCATACCGTATATTGTTTCATAGACTATGAATATTTGAATATTACATTTGTCTTTATTAATATTTGCATTTTAGATAGCAGAATATTTTTCATGGGTGTATCATAATTTTTAAAATACTCTCGTGTACAAATTGTTCATTATGTAATCTCAATAATGATTTGATCAGTATCTTAAAAGATAATCACATCTACCAGGTGTGGTGGTGCATACCTGTAATCCCAGCACTCTGGGAGGCTAAGGCAGGAGGATCGCAAGTTGGAGCCTAGTTTGGGCAATTCAGTGACTTATCGAGACCCTGTCTCAATTTAAAAAGAGCAGAGGAATGTAGGGATGTAGCTCAATGCAAACTCTGAGTTCAATTCCTAGTATTCCCCCTCAAAAAAAACCAAAACCCCAGAAAAAACCTTGGGTACATCAATTTCCAGAGACATTTTTTAAGAAGTGAAATTGATAGAGAAAAGGTATATAAGCTTTTGAGAATCTTGGTATATATCACTCATTTCAGAGATTGTGTCCACTTCTGTTCCCTTTAGCAATCTACCAATCATCCAGGATGTAAAATTACTAAGATATTTGCAAGTTAATTACAGAAAAAGCTTAGTGAAGGTTTTTTTTTTTAATGTTTATATTCCATTTCATTCTTTTGAGAATTGCTTATTCATATGTATTTGTCCTGTTACTGTTTTGGAGAGCTTGCCCTTTTCCTTGGTTTAAATTCTTTATAAATTAAGAACATCCATCCTTTGTTGTATAACATTTTAATGTGTTAGTTGCCTTTTTGTACAGCTTACAATATTTCCGCATAGTTTTCTCTAGAAGTGTACCTTTACATGTGTGCTTGAACGTATTTGTCTTAACCCAGGTATGGATAAATACACTAGTTTTGGTTTTGGGTTTTTGTTTTCTTTTTTCCTTTTTACAGTTGTCTTTAATTCAGTAGGAATTTTATTTTGTTTATACACATAACTCATTTAATCTACATAACTGAAATGAAAAGGAAATTTTGATCAATCTCAAGTTTATTTGGAGATACTATGTGAGATGAGGATGTACGGCTAATCTTTGCAAAGAGTTTATCAATTGCTTCGGTATTGTAAGCCACTATTTTCCTTTGTAATGCTATATTTATAGAATATTAAATTTTTGTGTCTTTTACATCTTTGGTCTATTTGTGGGCCTTCTGACTTTTTCCATGTTAACCATTCTGGCTTATTGGTGTTACATTTGGGAGAATGAATCCCCCGTTTTTCTTGGAAATTTTGTGAAATATAGCCCACAGAAAAATATCTAAAACAAATGTTCTGTTTAATGGATAAACCAACAGCTAAGCACACCCTGAGGCAGAGAAGCTGCTGCTGGCACTCCAGAATCTCCTTGTGTCCCCTGGTGATAGCTACCAGCACCCTCTGTATCCACGGGGTACTACTGTCCTGACTTTGTAGTAAGTCTCCCCTCCATTCTTTAAAACAAATTTTTATTTTACCAGTTACTATGTGACCATATGGCTTGTTTTGCCCACTTTTGCCTCCTATAAAGGTTGAATCATTCTGTATGTTGTGTCTGGTGTCCTTAATGTAGCTTAGAGAATTCATGTCACGTGGGTTTGGCTGGTTCATTTTCATTGCTGTACGATGTACTGTTTTGTTAGTGCCACTGTGTCTTTATTCTGGGATGTGTCTAGGTTTTGGCTGTGACAAGCAGTAGTATGATAAGGACCTTTGCACCCGTACACATATTTCTGTAGGGTATATATACCCACGAGTGGACTTGCTGGGTTAGAGGGTTGCACATCACTGACTTTTCATGTTTCCACACCCCCTCCACTGCATATCAAGAGTTAGAGTACTACCAGACTTCAGTTTTAGCCAGCGTGGTGTTTATTAGCCAGCAGTTTATTTACACTGGTTTTATTCTGCATTTCCCTAATGAGGAATGGCGTTGAGCATTATCAGATGTTTACTGGCCACTGGATTCCGTCTGACAAGTGCCCATTTGAATCTCGTCCTTTTTTTGTTGTGTTGTTAGCTGTCCCCCGTTCCTGTGGTTTGTAGGACATATTCTGGTTGCTCATTTGTGGTATTTAAACAAAGAATTGGTGTTTGATTGGTTGTGCTTGTATCTTCCCTTCTGAAGCCGACTTCATCCTCATGCTGTATTGATATTGAAAATTTTGAATTTTAGTGGCAAATCTATCACTCTCATGCTTAATGCTTTTTGTGTCTTGTCTTAAGGAATTGCCTCTCCAGAAGTGACGAAGATATATTCTTATGCTTTAAAATCTTTACAGTTAGAAAGTACTCGGTAACTTTGCCCTTCATGCTGGGTCTTAGACTCCACCTGGAATGTATTTCTGGCTGGGTGAGGGAGGGGCCTTTTCTGTGGAGGGGGTGTGGTCATCAGCTGCTCCTCTACACTTCTGCCACATAGCAAGCATCTGTCTGTGCCACTTTCAGGCTTCTCTCTTCAATGTCATTAACTCATTCACAACAGGGCTGTGATTCTTGTATCTCACTGCTGGGCGGCTCTGGTTTGTATTCGATTGTTCCTGCCAGCTTGAGCCGCTAGTGGTACATGCATCACTGTCCCATTGGCAGCTTGTACTGCTTCTCAGGGGGCCTTTGATCACAGTAATGCAAAGGAAGGCATTGATGTAGCACACCAGATGTCATCCTATTACGGTTCCTTAAGGAAAACATGAAAATGGTATAAAAAATGATAGTACTGCTAATTTTTGGTACAACAGTTGTAAATGCATATTATATACACCAGCAATAGGGTACTCCCAAGATTTCCATGGTAAAATTTAGAGAATTAATTATTGAAAAACTTCACAAATATAAATTTGATTATTGTAATTTTTAATTGGTACAAGTGGTATTAATTAATCTTTATATTTGGGCAATAATTATCCAAATTTAAGCAACTAGCTAGATTTACACACTTTTTGTTAATTTTATTAGTAAGAGGACCAATAAAGGTGATTAGATCTGTTTGTATCACCACCAGTACAGGTTCTCTGATGGGACAGGCGTGCATGGACCACCATTGCTCAAGCCGGCGAGAATATGTGAAGCTATTTGTGCTAATAATGTGCTGCCTTATTTACGGTAGCTTTGTAGTAAGATTGGAGTGAGGCCTGCCATGGTACTCTTTAAAGTGGTTTCAGTATTTTTGGCCCTTAGAATTTTTATACAAAAGCAGAATTTTAGAATCAGCTTGTCATATTCCACAAAAGAACTCCTCGGTGATGAAAATCCACATTCATTTTCAGAACAGATGTTTGCTATTCTGTCTAATCAATTAGCTTTTTTTTTAATAGCAATCCACATTTTCAGGGATGTGGAACCTTGCCATTTACTAAAGTGTGCCTACTGTTTCTATGAAGGTGACTATTTTTAGTTTCTGTGAGTTAAGTGGAAAATTCAGAATACTGGTTTACTGTGCATACCTCAAGTGTTGCATAGTTTTGATGGAGAGGAGGTAAGAAGTAAAGATAAAGAAATTTTTTTGAAAAGTCAGATTTAGGCTTAAAACCAGAAGATGGAGTGAACCTGCAGTATTTGCGAACTCTTACCTTCCATTTCCTTGTGATTACGTCAAGAAAAGGAAGTGAAGCTCTAAAGCTTGGGGACATCATGGACATTAATGGAAGACATTACTAGGATTGATCTTGTCATGTAACAGCAATACGAGGAGTAAGTTCTCTTCCTCGGTCTGTTCTGAACGTGACTCCCTGGCGAGCTGCGGAGGGGGGTTGCGTGCTGGTGCAGAAGATACACAGCTTCTGGGGTTCTTTTTTTCCTATTACTGGGATGTTGTGGCGATTTGATCAAGGTTACAGGAAGCCAAGAAGAGAACTCAGCACCAGGTCCTGGGCTGTGGACTGCATGCCCTTGTGCATGAATCCCACACACCAAGGCTGCCAGGTCAAAGCCAGGTGCGAGCTTAGCCCTAGGGCATTTGTCGTTTCTCTCTGACTTACAGGACAAAGAGCTTTTTCTGTCCCAGTGACTTGTGTTTGGAATGTTTACTTTTGAATCATTTGAAGACTATGTGACCATTTTAGCCACCACTAGTATTTTTATTCTTCCCTCTGATCACTGGCTGCAAAACTTTGTAGAGGAGACTTGAAAGGTGACATCAGTATTGAGTTTTATTCAAAGGGCCAGGTAAAACTAAACCACTTCCTGAACCCCCATCCTGGGCATGGATCCCAGGCCGTTCTACCTCTGGGCTATAGCCTCGACCCTTTTAACCTTTTGAGACAGGGTCTTGCTAAGTTGTCCAGGCTGGCCTCCAATTTGTGACCCTCCTGCCTCAGCCTCTTGAATGCAGGGATTACAGATGTGTGCTACCATTCCACACACTACAGGTTTATGGCATAGTTTGTGCCACTAAAAGTTAGAAAAAACAAAAAGATTTTGTCTTTGTATAAGTTGAAAAGTTGGAAATGCCTGTGCCATGGTAAATAAATACAAGGATTATATTATATATCCAGCTTTTGTGAAGAGCATATATATCATTTTAAAAACAGGCCAAGTCATATTGACTAAACCACTTGACAGCAAGAGAAACTTCAAGGTCCTATTTTAATTTCTAGCTAAAGTAAGGAAGCTTTGATACTGGGCCGATGAAATAAACCTAGGTTTGGATCATACTGACCCATGGCCAGACCACAAATTAGACGCAACTCTGTAAGTACAGGAATAAAAGCCTGAACAAATGAGTGTGATATATTACTTTCCAGGCAACTTTAGAAACTTGGAATAAAAAAGGCTAAAAACAAGGGTGAGCCACTGGAATAGCATTAGATAATGAGATTTGGGGTTTAAATGCTTCTATTTCCTTTGACTCTGGGGGAGTTCTGAACTCTCCTGGCTGTTAAGACTGTTCAGTGAGGTCAGCGGCCCCTTATCTAATGTACAGGGTATGTTTTGAACAAAATTTCAAAGTGTGATCTTTGAAGGTTAAAAAATTTTATGTAAGATCCTCATGATGGTAACAATTATGTCTGAAGCAGGTTTAGGAGAAGCAGTTTTGCCAGATGAAGTGAAATGTTTTAAAATCACCACCATATGAAACTTTTAATTTAATGTTATAATTAACTGAAAGAATAAAGACCCCTTAACTATTTTGACAAAGGGAAGTTAGGACATCAAGCTAAGAAGAGCCCCAGCTTTGTACGGAGAGGTTTCACATTATTAAGACAAAAGAATGAAAGTTATAAGTCAAGGTCTTATTTAGAGTATCTAGAAATATACCTTTAAGAGGGGCCGGGGATTTGGCTTGCAAGCACAAGGTCCTGAGTTCGATCCCAGTACCAAAAAAAAAAAAAGTGGTAGAAATATACCTTTAAGAGGTAGAGACTCGGCTTATAAATTGTCTGAAAATATTGTTAGGAAATACATCAGTTTTCTTAATAGTACCACATATACTTGTACTAAATACCATTTCTAGTGATTTTTTTTTGTAAAACAAAGCATATCTTTGACTTAGATTTTTAACAAAAAGATTTTCATCTTCTCTTTAGCTGCTTTTCAAACTGAAGCACCGTTAAGACAAACGTAACTGACAATGGCAATGAAAGGTAAATCTTATCTTGAACTACTGTTCTTTTTTTTTTTTTTTGGTACCGGGGTTCGAACTTGGATCCTTGGGCTTGCGCAGCGCAGCAAGTGGCGAAACCACGGAGCTAAATCCCCAGCCCAAATTACCCTTCTTTAGTTCGTAGGGAGGAGAGCTTAGAATTCATTCCACACACTATAAATGGAGAAACTGAGGCACAGAGCAGCATGAGGACTTGCCTATGACTGTGTGGCAGGCTCTGACAAAGCCAACTCTTTCCTCACCCAGTGCTCTTTGCTTAATGTGCAGTTGTCTTCTAATTAATTCCTTAACACATTTTGCAGCATTACAGGAAAAGCACAGCACCTGACATCTGTTTTCTAACTTTGGAACTACAGGAATGTTGGATTTCTCTAGAGAGTCTTAATTATTGCAACTAGGTTCAGTTACTACAATTTTTTTGGTGGAGGTGTGGAATAGATAGCATGCACTCACTGTTTACAAACGCGGTCCTGTTTTTCCTTTTCACTGCCTGACTTGGTCTGTTTTGGATGTGCTCACAACCAAACACCTACTCCTCTGGGTTTCCA